CCAGGGTATATATGTCCTTATGATGTGTACTGTATATGACTGGTACACAATGTTCCAAACTACTATGTGCAAAATTTGTTTTCACCTCCAGAACCAAAAGCTGACTAAATCTCGGGAAGGTGGAAAAATTCCACAGTACATCCAAAGGAAACAAAGGCCAAGAACAAGATGGCCGCTGAGAGGGGCACGCCGCGCTGCGGGATGCTGGAAGGAGCACAAACTCTCAACCTCCGTCCTTAATAGGGCACGTTGAAAGAAAACCAACCCCACGGATGGTGTTTTTTCTCCTCCACAGCCGTCCGTCCAAAGCCTTTTTATTAGTACGTGTTTGCTTTAGGCTGGCTCATTGCGATATTCACCACGAGAGCCGGGCCAGGGGAGGGAAGCTCCAGCCAAGCTCTGGATGGGAGATGAGCCAGACCCGAGCTGGAGTCCCGGCCACTAGGTGTCACTTGCTTCCTGCGGAGACGAGCCATGTCAATGGGACAACCCGAGGCTGCCTGATTTACCATCTAGAATGAGATGACGGGGCGCAGCTTTCAGGACACAATTGGCGATTGTTTTAACAAAAAACAAAAAAACTCATGCTGATCTGTAAAATAAAAAATGACGTAAGAGTTTAATTGTCAGCAAACACGCTTCCCTCGTGTCAGCAGCCGGCGGTAAAAGCCACAGACATGTCACTCCTATTTGTAAAAGTGTGTTCATTACTTTCACTGCTACGTAAATAACAAAGGCAGATGCAGGCGAGTCCTGTGCATGTCACCATCTCTTAAAGCTGAACTCCGGACCAAAAAATGTTCATTCAAATAGATTACTCAATAGCCACAAAGTCTATGGGGACAAAACCGGCCGAGATCTGTCCCCAAAGAAGCTCCTGCACTTTTTTCCCCGCGACAGGCGGTTTGCTTATTGCGACACAACCCTTGGATGTGTGCGCAGCGGCTACAAGAATGAATGGGACTTTATGGTGGAAGCTTTGTGTCGCGCTGAATCAGCTGCGACTATACGCTCAGTGTGAGCCTTAGTGTGAGCCCCGTACACACCAGGGCGGTTCGGTCAAGCGGATTTGTCCGCGCTGAACCGCCAACATGAACGATCCCATACATATAGATTTCAATGGATACGCACTGATCAGCGCGTTTTTGGGCGTCTTTAATTGTGTTTCAGTGCTGAAACGCGATTAAAAACGCCCCAAAATGCCCTTTCAAAAATTGCAGAAATCGCCCTGGTGTCAGTGGCGTCACAAGGGGGGTGCGGCCCGCACCCGGGGGCCACCATTGGAGGGGTGACACCCAAATGACCGACATTCATTTTGCTGTCACCCCCTCTGAAAAGTCGGGCACTCGGTTACGGTCGGGTGTACGTCCCCTCCTCTCTCTGCCGGCGTCCATCACCAAGATGGCCGCTGGCAGGCACAGTCAGACGACCATACATGCACGATGACATCACGGCAGGGGTGTCACCCAGTCTCCGCTCTGGGTGACACCCAACCCCTGCCTGATGTGAATGGGGCCTTAAACAGTGTGTGGCTTTAACCACAGACTTGTACTGAAACAGAAGAGCAGCGTCTTATCCAGCTGTGTTGCCAGCAGTCACTAGAGGGCACTCTTTGGAGACCCGAGTGGACCTCTGCATTCCTCTGTTGGTCATTTGCATATTGTCAAATGTAATTAGCATCCCTGCTTAATGACATCTAATACAATTTCAGTTAGCCTTATAAAAAGTCTGCTGTTTCCAGCCAGGTCAGACTTAACCATAAGCTCGCACTGAAATAGAGGAGCACTGTTTTATCCCGCTGTGCTGCTAGACTGGAGGGAGCTCTTGGGACCTTAAAGTGAACCTCGGCATTAGGCAAGATGAGCAGCAGTAGGTGAGAGGCTGCAGGCCACAACCAGGGGATGCAATGAAAAGCTGCAAAAAGATTATAGTTACCTCAGGGCTGTGCTCACCTACAGAGCCTAAAGCAGAGGTGCCCACAATTTTTTGTGTTAATATCTACTTTTCAAACGACGAGCTACATGAGCTGTCTCTCCTCACGCTCTCTCTCCAGGCTCACCTTGCTGTATTTTGCAAACAGTGTAGTGCAACAGGCTGTGTAAACTAATATTCTTTGATGTAATACATAGCACTTCAACCACCAGTATCCACCAGAAAGGTGTCAGGGAGCTTGGCTCAGCAGACTCAGGCAAATAGGTAATCATGTGTGCACAGCTAAATAAATATACCAAAATGGAATAAAGGGGCCGCCATTCACACCCTTCATGATCTACCAGCATCAGCTTCGGGAGCTACTGGTAGACCACGATCTACCTAATGGGCACTCCTGGCTTAAAGCATGTTTCTGAGTGTCACAGCAGAGGGCTGACGTTGCACCCCAACCCCCCCATTCCACCCGAATATAGCTGATACACCATCCACCTCCATGATCCAGAAATCAAGGGGCCGACAAGCGGGCAGGGCGTGAGCGATTCTCCTCCAGTAATTGCCTCGTGGCATAATTTTGCTCAGAATGTCAATGTTATGGCCGTGGGCACATCAAAAAGTCAGATTAGAAAATCCAATTAACCCCCCTTTTTTCTCTGTAAAAATATTTGATCTCCAAGAATAAACCAGATGGGACGTATAATATTAGTCTGTTTTTTTTCTCCTGCGCTGTCTCCGCTCATAAATCACGGAGCAGATAACTGCAGATTAATTATAACTTGAAGCCTTGCAAATCCCATCAGAAAGGTTTACAGTGTGCCCGTTGAGGACAAGCGAGATACAGAAACCAGGGCTCGGTGGGAGATTATGTAAAAAAACGCCCTAATTGGAAACTTTAACTCCTTTGCAGCCTCTTACAGGGCCTGAAGGAGGACGCAGCGGGAGATCTCCCAGAAACAAATTCACACACTAACCCAAAGTTTTGATATTAACTAATTTAAATGTTCGTTATGGCACAGATGGAACATCTATATTTGCAGGATGTACGCACATAAAGTTCTGTGACTGGGTGAGATATTTATAGGTGCCGTCAATCTGTCAAACTCCGACCTGCTCGAACAATGATCTATTAATGATCTGAAGCCAGAAGGGCGATTAAGGGGAAACTCCGATACCCTGTAAAAGTCATTCCTTCCATATTTTCTTTCGGAATGCTTCTGCATCATTAGGGCGAGCCTGTGATATTGTCTGTGTACCATGTGGAATTGTCTCTCTAAATTGGCGGTAAAAAAAAGTGGCCATATTCCATTGGGTGGACTTACTACAGTGTGAAGTGAGGGGAAGAGAAGTAAAGTGAGCCTAGGTCTCATTTACTAAAGAGAGGTAAAGCGACTTAAAATAAGAAAAGATAAGATAAAGCGACTTAAAACCTGGTCCGATCCTGAGCTCCTCCTAAGTAAACCTAGGCTTGAATTACTTAAGTGAGGTAAGGTAGGTGAAGTGAGCCTAGGCCTCATTTACTAAAGGAATGGGAAGCGTCTTAACCTTCCTGGCGGTAATCCCGAGTGTGGCTCGGGGATAAATTTTCCGTACCAAAAGCGGTAACCCCAAGCCACACTTGGGCGTCTTCCGGGTTCCTTCCCTGCGAGCGCCGGCATTGCAGGGGGGCGGAACCGGCGAGAAATTCAAAAGTAAAAAATAGAAAGAAAAAAAATACTGAGATAATCATACCGCCAGGGAGGTTAAAATAAGGAAAGATAAGGTGAACGTGAAGTGACTTAAAACCTGGTCCGAACCTGAGCTCCTCCAAAGTAAACCTAAGCCTAGGCCTGAATTATTAAAGTGAGGTGAAGAGAGGTAAGTTTGGTGAAGTAAAGTGAGCCTAGGCCTCATTTCCTAAAGTAAGGTGAGGAGAGGTAAGGTAGGTGAAGTAAAGTAAGCCTCGGCCTCATTTACTAAAAGAATGGGAAGCGTCTTAAAATAAGGAAAGATAAGATGAATGCGAAGTGATTTAAAATCCAGTCCAAAACTGGGCTCCTGCAAAGTAGACCTAAGCCTAGGCTTGAATTACTAAAGTGAGGTGAAGAGAGGTAAAGTTGGTGAAGTAAAGTGAGCCAAGGCCTCATATACTAAAGTAAGGGGAAGCGTCTTAAAATAAGAAAAGATACGGTGAACGTGAAGCAACCTAAAACCCAGTCCAAGCCTGAGCTCCTGAAAAGTTAACCTAGGCCTAAGCTTGAATTACTAAAGTGAGGTGAAGAGAGTAAAAGTAAGTGACGAAAAGTGAGCCTAGGCCTCATTTACTAAAATGAGGTGAAGAGAGGTAAGGTAGGTGAAGTAAAGTAAGCCTTGGCCTCATTTACGTAAGGGAAAACGTCTTAAACTAAGGAAAGATAAAGTGAACGTGAAGCAACTTAAAACCCGGTCCGAGCCTGAGCTCCTTCAAAAAAAAACGAGAGGTAAGTAAGGTTGCCACCTTTTCTTCAAGTGAAACCTGAACACTTTAGCGCTGTATGCACCAATTTTCAGGTGGCTTTGCGGGCTCTTAGTTGGCTGTGTAGGGTCTCAGGTGGGCTATGCAGGCTTTCAGGAGTGCTGTGCGGTGTCTCACCAGGGGTCCAGAGGTGGGCAGCATGGTGTCAGGAAGACTGAGATGTTTACAGGCACCTGCGGCTCACAGAAAGGCTGCCAAGGTCCCCAGCAAGCATGGGACCTCAGGCAACCGCATCTGGCAAAAAATGTAAAGTGCCTTTTCAGTCGATATACGGCTGAAATCGGCCGTACCAGCCTGAAGTGAATAGCCGAACAGTGTTCGGCTCACTTCACTTCTGATCGGTCATTCACTCGGCTGCCCTCGGCAGCTTTGTGAATAGACCCCACAGTGTTCCCGGAAACTCGCTATGGCTTTCTTTACCTGCCAAAGAATTCAAAATATCTTTTCCATTGCTATAATTTGTTACACATGAGCCCAAGAGTCTTCCAAACTTTATAGATGGACATTAATAATAGGTTTAAAAATAAGTGCTTAGCTCATGTATTTAGCTCTGCAGGTATGTTTTCAGAGTAGAGCTTACCTTTCAACGTGGTCAACGTTCCCAGCTGCGCCAAGGCCACCGATCGTGTAGATTTTGCCATCGAACACCAGACTGTTGTGTCGACACCTTGGAACGATCATCCTGGAGACCAGATTCCAGTTATCCAGTAAGGACATGTAGCACCAGACATCAGCTAGAGCTACACCAGATTCCATACCCCCTGAAATAAATACAGAGAAAAGAAGAATGATTTAGCTACTTGTCCAGTTTGGGTTGAGGAACCCCGAGTCTCGGATTGTCCTACCATGTAAAGGAGTGCATGTGATTTAGAGAGATCCATGCTTATGTTTCTTTGTCAAGGATCAAAATAAAAAAACTTACCTTGTTTTGTCTAGAGGACTCAAATAAAGAAGATTTACAGGGCTATTCACAAAAGGGTGAAGAGTTTGGAGACGGCAGGAGAAGGGAACAATCTAGGCCAAAATAGCTCATTTGGAAAAGTTCTCCCCCCGGGCTCCAGCGGTCTAAGGACCCCTGATGTCATGACATCTAATGCAGGTCCACTGACCTGTATTAGATGTAAGGATGCTAAGGGACATTCCACAGCAGGAGTGAAGGGTGAGAGAGCTGAGAGCTGACCGCTGTGGGACCAGGGTTCAGGTGAGTTAAACTATACTGTCAGATGGGCCCCCCATTTTGTAACCATCACACCTTTTTCACAGACCTCAAAGTCCCCCTGATCCCACCAAGTTGCTATGACAAACAAGTATTGTTCTCAATCCATCAACAGCAGTGAACAAAGGAGGACTGGTGGCACAACCTTCATTCCCCGTCAACCGTCCAGAAACAATTCCCAGCAGCCTCTGCAGATCCTACTGCTACAGCTTCTCCCTAGCACCTGACCCTGAACCTCCAATCAGATAAGTCAAAAGTCCATGTATCCCATCACACTACTGACCGGAGAATGCCCAACGCAGCAAGGCGGGTGCAGCAGCAACAACAGATGCCTCCGCCAAAACGTACAAAAAAAGAAAAAGTCACTGGCACTCCAAAATAATTAAGTCAATAAGGTTTTATTGACCCAAGTGATAACACCTCTAAGCAACGTTTCGGGACCATGCGGCCCCTTCCTCAGGCAAATAGGAAGGGGCCGCATGCCTGAGGAAGGGGCCGCATGGTCCCGAAAACGCTGCTTAGAGGTGTTATCACTTGGGTCAACAAAACCTTATTGACTTAATTATTTTGGAGTGCCAGTGACTTTTTCTATTTTTGTCCAATCAGATAAGGCCTGCTAATTTCTCTAATCTTTCCTCGCCGCAGTCATGTAGCCCTTCCATATATTTCTGCAGGTCTGACTTTTTTCTCGAGAAAATGATACTCGACATCTGATAGTCTATGGACAGCAGACCTAACTTACCATGCTTCAATTTTCACCGACCCGTCCGTGCTCATCTTGAGAGTAATTACTATAAGTTATAAGACTTGTTCCTGATTTTTTTTCTAAATTGCATTGTTGTTACATCATGAGGTTGTGGCATGACCATATTTTGTAGTGAATTTTTGTAGCAATAATGGAAGTCAGCGAATATTTAACAATCCAAAACAACAATTCATTGAGATGGAAATGGAGCTTTAGAGACAAATTTGGTGAATTGCTGTTCATGCCTAAATTGGCCCCTTGACAAAATGCCATTTTAAGAGGAACGACAACTCACAGAGATGCAGCTTTTTTTTAAGGTGATTTTTATTGAATACCAAATATAACAAAGTTAACAGACAGAAAAAGAGGTGGGGAAAAAAAGAGCAGAAACAAGTCCCACGGCATCAATAAAAAAAAAAAAATATTCAGCTTGTTCTAGGATCTGCTTTTTTATTTCATATGAGTCAAAAAATGATATGAAATATTGCATCCCTTATCATCCATTCAGGGCCTTCCCTATAATGAAGTAGCCCAAGGCGGTTGCCTCAGGCGGCATCTCATTGGGGGGTGGAAGAGGAGTGGCCACAGCATCCCAGGTTGCTCTTAGCAGCTTGTGACGCTCTGTCCAGCGTCTTATAAGGAAGTGTGCATGTATTATTTGTTTTCTAAAAGATGGAATTTCCCTTTAAATGCATATAGCAAGTAGATCAGCAGCTTCAGAATTCACTCTGCACTTGTGGTCCATTCGATCTTCCTTCTGTCCACGTTACTGAATGTCAGTACCGAGGTATGGACATGGGTGGGAGGAAGAGTCAACAGGAGTCAGAGCATTGCACCTGCGATCCACTGATCATGGCTCCAATGATTTACTGGCTTCAATGCTAACCCCCCCACTGAATACACATTTTTTTATTTTATAAGGAAGTGTGCATGTATTATTTGTTTTCTAAAAGATGGAATTTCCCTTTAAATGCATATAGCAAGTAGATCAGCAGCACTAAATGGAGGGGACCTTGTAACAGAGATGCTGAGGATACCCCAGTTCACACAACCCTCCTCCTCGCTTTATCAGGGGACTGGAGAGTCATATACCAAAAACTAGTTATTGCAGTAATTCCATTTGCCCGGGCAATTCATTTGCAGCACATGTATATAAAATGTAATGTAACATAGTGGCACCTATTTACTGCATGGTCATCAAAATGTCTTGGCTGAATCTGGAGTTCTTTAAATGCAGATAGCAAGCAGTGATTAGGCTGGGCTTGGTGCAAATTCAGTTCTCCTGAGTTCACCCAAGTCCGCTCAAAACTCTGACTGCCACCCCCTCCTCCCGACCCAATCAGTTTCAGGGAGGTGCATTCCCCGCAGCTATACCTCATACGGAACACCCCTACCCCAACTTCCGACACTGATTGAGTCAAAAGAAGTAGGTGGCGGTCAGAGTTTTGAGCTTGGGTGAGCTGAGTTTGCACCAGTGGCGTAACAATCACCATAGCGACCCAGGCGGCCGCTAAGGGGCCCAGAGCAGAGGGGGCCCGGCCAGGACATCCCCCTGATGCTGTGCTGGCCGCTTGGGTCGCTATGGCATGTCAGGCTGCTGGCTGTCACTGGCAACCTGTCAGTGATCTTTGCAGCGGTGCGTTCCTCCTCACAACCGTTGCTGTGTCAGTGACATCCAGCAGCTGCGGCAGAGGATGCTGGGCCCGGCTTCGACAGCTGAAGAGGAGGTGGGGCCCGGCGACGGGAGCAGGGCCGGTGACTTCAGAGGAGGAGGGGCCCGGCGATGGAAGAGAAGACAGGGCCCCGGCGATGGAAGAGGAGGCGGGGCCCTGTGCAGGAGGAGGAGGCTGACAGCGGATTGGGGCTGACAGGTAAGAGGTGTGCAGGGGTGTGACCAGCCCCGGTAGGCTTTTAAGACCCTGAAAAGCCTACCATAGAGTCTATGCTGGGCTCTGCAGGGTCACTCTCAGATGAGCCGCTTGGGATCTCAGGTGGGCTCTGCAAGGGACGTAACTAGAAATCACAGGGCCCCATACAAAATTTTACTATGGGGCCCTGTGATTTCTAGTTACGCCCCTGGTTTGCACCCAGTCCACCCTCATTACTAATAGCAGCAAGAAGATCTGCAGCACTAAATGGAGGGTACCTTGTAACAGAGGTGCAGAAGATACCACAATTCACACAAGCCTCCCTCTTGCTTTACTGAGGGTCTGTAGAGTCATATACTAAAAACTAGTATTGTAGTATTTTCATTTGCCTGGGAATTTCATTTACATTTTACAGTGAATCATAGCTGCACATATTCACTGCACGGTCATTAAAACGTCTTGCATGTTTGGTTGCATCTGGAGTTCTTTAAATGTTGTTTACAGCGCCTGGCAATGTAGATGTAAATGCGCTGCTTAGGAATCCTCTGTGACTTTAGAAAGGGTTACACTCTTCCTTCATCTGAGAATCAGGGATTGTGGAAAATCTTTTATAGAGAGTGAAGAGACATCCCCGAGGACAGCCTGCCTGCAGCAAGTCATGGCTGCCTCCGACGTGATGTCGCTGAGGATGAGCCCGCCTCAAACTTTCTCATGCTAGCTCTGGTACCTGCGGTGCTGATTAGCATTTCTCATTTTACAAATGCTTCCTCGCTGTCTGAGCCACCTCTAATGTACTGAATTGGCGTGGCCATCTCCTCATTAGGAAAGCAGAGTAATGCGATTTTAATGCCGACAGACACAAACACCAACACAGAGGGTCTGTACTGCGCAGATACCCACACTTCAAAAATCTTGAGATCAATGTGCGCAATTTGGGCAAAGAGGAGTTACATACCCGGTCACAATATACCGTATTTTTCGCTCCATAAGATGCACTTTATTCCCTTCAAAGGGAGGGGGAAAATGTGCCTGCGTCTTATGGAGCGAATCCATAAGAGACATGCAGTTTCGGGCACCGGGCGAGTAGTTTTTTGTACATTTAGCCCTGCTAAACAGAGCTAAATGTACAGTAGGAGCCACTGCTCGTTTAATACAAGTGATATGATTAGATCACTTGTATTAAAACCGAACGGACGTTCTTCGTCTGCTCTGTGTGATCACTGAGACCGTGGCGCTGTAATCACAGCGCCACCTGTCTCAGCGGTCACTAACTGCAGCTTCTGTCACAGCTTCTGTCACAGAAGCTACGGTCTGTCGAGTGCTCCATAAGGCGCACCAGGCCTCCCTGCGTCCTATGGTCCGGTGCATCTTATGGAACGCAAAATACGGTATTTATATGT